GTGACGTCACCACTCTGCATTACCTCATCGGCGTGAAACGCCAGGGGGAGGTGTACCTCGCCAGTGACGTCATGTCACCAAGGTATTCCCCCGTCCTCCGCGCTCTTGAGCGTGACGTCACCTCCGCTTGGGTTACTGCCGATATCGTTCCAGTGCCAATCCTTATTTGGGCAAAGCTACGCCCAGTGACTAGCGGCTCATTAACATAATGTGTTCTTTGAAGCGGTCGCGAGTTTATTGCGACGGGTTCAGCACCTACAATATATATCGGATGATACATTAACATAATTTAATCATACTCCATTTTTACGGAGCAGCTCATTGTGGGAGGGGCGTGTCTCGTTTCCCGGAAGTGACGTCATGTCACCTGCTGCCTCGTGACGTCACGAGGTAACAGGAAGCTATCGCTTCCTGCTCTGAAATCCGAGGTGAGAAATTCTCATTGCGATTGTGGTTGTTGTGGTGGTGGTTGTGGTGGTTGTTGTTGTTTACCAAGGTAGAGCCTCTCTCTCTCGTAGGGATGTCAGTTGAGTAGCAGCGAGCATGGGAATCGATGTCCAGGTTGTAACTTTACAACGCGGGGCCTAGCCACGCGGGGCCTTGCCTCCTGCCCTCGCCTGATTGCATTCACTTTAATTATCTCGCTTAAGTTTAATTTGTCTTCACCCGGCTCGCCACTTTGTAACTTTGTTTTATTGTAAATATTCACGCAGTTTTTCTTTTCGTTCTTTTGTTAGCAGGCCAAGCCCGCTTGAGCTGCTATACCGCTCTTGTTATCAGAAGCGACCTGCCCACAACAACACAAGGTGAGGCTTTGTCAACGTGTGAATGTTTTGACTTAAAATTTAGGTGACTGCTGTTGTATATATAGGTATTATGAAAATTGATGAAAATAATGAAAATTAAATGAAATCTGAAATTTGCATAATTTATCCAAAATTATGTTAATCAGTGTAATTATGCGCATAAATTATGCCGATTCGAGATATAATCGTATTAATTTATGCGAGTGGGCGTGGTTATGATAATGCAGGTCGTTATGGATTATAAGGTCGAGCCTCGGTGACGAGGATTGTGTTATGAATTGGAATAACGCAATTAATCGTATGCAGTGACGCAGGCGTTGTGAGCGTGAATGAGAGAGAGTCGATTCGACTCAGCTCTTTAATTCCGTATTATCGATAAGGATACGATTACTCTCGATTGAACATTACGAATTATGTGTGTTACGGATTATGTGTGGTGATAGTGTGCTTGTGATAGGTCCCCAGGATTCAGATCTCACACGCAGAACAATATTATGCAGAATTTCAGGAAGAATCACACACAAACCTTCTGCTTTGATCAATTTTATTTTCTAGCTAACTTTAATTTTTGGATAATATGAAAACTCAATCTCGGGATGTTGGAATTTCAACACAGCGTTAACATGATACCATCACGATTGCGTTGTTTCACCTCGATAGCGGCACCTGTGGTTAATTCCCGACGCGTAACGCAATCGATCGGTTGTTGAGAGAGAGATTAAAAACATGCGAACTATTCTATCAAACCTTAACTTTATAATATGCAAACTCGTATACTTGAATTGTTACACAACACGGCACTTGGTCTTTGATTCGTATACAATCCTTAATACATTCTGATATGCGAAGTTATTATGCTTGAAATCGTCAGCACAGTACCACGTTGATGTTCGTTCATTGATTCATAACGATTATGAATTTAAAGCGTTCGACTGAAATACTTCTAATTGCCTTATCAACACCACTCGATGGCCGCAATGCTTCGTTACTTGAATTGTCACACAACACAGCATTCGGTCATTGATCATGCGCGGCCCTTAATGCAATTATTGTCACGTTGTTAACAATAGGATGACTGATTATTATGCAACGCTACTCGTTGAAAGGGCACTCCAACCAGTATTATTCTTGGAGGCACAAATATACGTTTGAATTCGTTATTTCATTCGTGGATACCAGCAAGATTATGCAGAAAGACAAATATTAACGAACGACTCAAGTAGTTCTAATCAACTTCTCAACGCGACTCAATGGGTGGCGATGTTTCCTTTTCAGATCCTTATCTCGGGCCAATCTTTTAATTAATTGTGGCCAGACCCCTGACAGGGAACCAGTTGAACACGCTCTCCACCCCCGCGAGCGGTGCTCCGTGGTGAGGTGCCAAGAATTAATCCTTGTTAATGGGTCAGTTGGCAATTTATGCAGTTAGAAGTACAGCCCCAGCACAATATTACAGAGGAAAATTATGAACACTCTTAAAAACGATGGATTATTCACTCGGTCGTTGCGATGTTTCCACAATCACGGATGGTTCAATGGCTTGAGGTTTTAGGCTTTGTTAATGACCCGTGTGTGTGTGTTGAATGGTATGAGTGGTGAAAGAGTAGGCCAATGATTCTTTGCGTCAAGCAGACGTCTGGTTTGTCGTGTAGTGGGGGGCAGTGTATCATACGTATCAGTTGATTCTTTCAGTAGTTGGTTCGGACTCGACGGACGTTGGTGAACGAGTAGATACGTTGTTGTAGCTGCGATGACCGTCTGGTTGATGGCGTTAGAAGCACGCCCGCAGCGGCGCGGTTGTACGCGGACGGTAGGTAATGCGCGCAGTGCGTCTGCGAGCAGCTGGCACGCTGGTGCTCCGTCGTCGGCGGTTGTAGATTGCAGGCTCACGATTCGCTCGTGGTGGCGCTGGCCGCTAATAGCGGCAGCGGGTCGCCAATCGGCGAGTTGTAGAGGCGTCTCCGGCGTCGGTGATGGCTGGTCTTCTGCTGAGACGAGTTGAGCGGGTCTTCTGCTGACATGAGTTGAGATGAGTCTTCTTCTGTTGAGCTGAGTTGAGATGAGTCTTCTTCTGTTGAGCTGGCCCCGAGGCCTGATGAGTTTTCTTCTGTTGAGCTGGCCCCGAGGGCAGATGAGCTTTCTTCTGTTGAGCTGGCCCCGAGGGCAGATGAGCTTTCTTCTGTTGAGCTGGCCCCGAGGGCAGATGAGCTGATTTCAATGCTGAAACGGCTCCTTTTTATGCCAAAAATCTCTCTCCTTCTCGGCTCCTCCTCACGAGGCGGAGCTATCTTTGATCTGATCGTATGTCGGTGGGGGGGGGTTCGTGTGTCAGTGGTGAGGGGGGTTCGTGTGTCAGTGTGTATGTTTGTGTGTGTGTCATTTATGACACGGTTCTGTTGGGGTCTTTCCTCAAGCCATAAACATCAAGACAACAGACACCTCGATTCATCTTGGAGGCGTCTGGTTGTCTACTCCATCCATCTAGAGAGAGGGGCGGGTTCCCCCCCTTTTTCGTACACGTTTTCGACGCACAAAGAAATGGTTAAGATTTTTAAAGTTTAACATTTCACATCACGTCGTGACTTTTAACCTGAAAGGACCAAAGAGCATCACGCTGAAGAATATTCTCCGTGTCTCTGGTGGACTGGAGTAGGCTCGTGGCTCGTGGTCACAGCTGTGGGTGACAAGAGTGGCGGATGCAGCGTGCCCAGCCGACTTGGGGACAGATCTGGCTGAAATGAAGCTTTGTACATGACCCGCAGTGGTGAAGTATGGTCAAACAACCTCCCCATTACCGCCATGGAGTTGGGGAAGCCTTCATCCATTGGTGGAATGAGATGGGCGGAGTTTATTTATTCTGTATCAACGATATATTGAAATGACGAGGGACCTTGAAAGTGTTTCTCAGAGGGGAGAAACACCTTAGGCTTAAGTTTCAACGCGTACCATTGAAGTATTGTTCATTGTAAGAGCTGGCAAAGTTGTGGCGGCTTGTAGAAGAATAAAAAAAGATTTCCCCCAAAAAAATCTTGCTCAAAATGCCCCCCCCCCCCCAATATATTTCTATTAAAAATATTTAAACAAAAATAATAATTGCTGTGCTATGTAAATACAAATAATTTTCTAAACCTTGGCCACAATATGTGGACTTGTCTTCATGTAACAATGCATAGATTTCTGTTTATATGATTGTGGTTATGAAGAAAAAAACAGAGCAATGTTGTAATAGAATAACACTCTTAGCCATTATTGTTAAAAAAATAACATGGAGTCGATTCCCGTTGCGGCTTCCGACGTTCAGATGGAGTCGATTCCCGTTGCGGTTTTCGACGTTCAGATGGAGTCGATTCCCGTTGCGGCTTCCGCCGTTCAGATGGAGTCGATTCCCGTTGCGGCTTCCAACGTTCAGATGGAGTCGATTCCCGTTGCGGCTTCCGACGTTTTAGATGGAGTCGATTCCCGTTGTTGATAACATGGGAATAGATTATTGGTGAATGGAGCTCGTGGAATGGATTTTCAATGGGGGGGGATAAAGCGGGAATCGAGATGGTGGTAGTGATTATAGCTGATGGAATCGATTACCATTGGGATAATATTGGTGGAGTTATATTATTGTTACTGCTCCTCTGTTTAAATATAATTTACGTGCAAACTTTGCCGACTACACAATTATTAAAACAATGCTCTCGATAACTTTTACCCCGGGGTTTAAATATTGTTTTGTGATTTAAAAAAAAAACCCGAAAGAGCGGGAAACATTGAACGGCCTGCTCACTGATTGGTCCAAGCGGCACCCGGCCACCTCCCACCATCGCCTTCTCCTATTGGACGCTGCCTTCAGCAGCGTTGCGCTCCCATTGGCTCAGCAACCGCGGACCACGATTCGCGTTTCGTCATCATAGCTCGACACGATTCAGGACTGAGAAGGAATCGAAACAACGGAATCGCGTTCGAGTCAAAAACATTTGATTTAAATATGGTACGTCAACAATACAACTTTTTTTTTACATTTATTTACACCGGCGCGAATGCCAACGCGAGTTTTATTGTCGATGTTGAGTTTTGTAATTTCTTACTGTAAAAAAGTTTTCCTCAAAGTCGCTCCCACCTCGGAGCCAATCGGATTTGGCGTCTCCCTTCCCACGTGACGCGAAGTTTTTTTGTTTTCCCGCCAATTTGTTTTGGCTCCTCCCCCTCACCCACCGCCATTTTTTTTAATTCGTGAGGGGGGTGCAGACGCCGGAAAATTTATTTTTGTTGCTCAATTAACGACGAGGACGACGAGGAGGAGGACGACCCGCTAGGAGTGTGAGGTCGCCACTTTTGAGAGAAAGCGTGAGGTAAAGAATGCCCTCTACCGTCCAGGTTGTGGCGTGCAAGTTTGGTGTTTAAGGGTTTGTGTTTAAGGGTTTGCCTTTAAGGGTTGGCGTTTAAAGGTTGGCGTTTAAGGGTTGGTGTTTAAAGGTTGGCGTTTAAGGGTTGGCGTTTAAGGGTTGGTGTTTAGGGGTTGCTTCTTAAGGTTTGGTGTTTAAGGGTTGGCGTTTATGGGTTGGCTTTTACGGGTTTGCGTTTAAGGGTTGGTGTTTAAGGGTTTGTGTTTAAGGCTTGGTGTTTAAGGGTTGGTGTTTAAGGGTTGGTGTTTAAGGGTTGGTGTTTAAGGGTTGGTGTTTAAGGGTAGTGTTTAAAGGTTGGTGTTTAAGGGTTGGTGTTTAAGGGTTGGCGTTTAAGGGTTGGTGTTTAAGGGTTGGTGTTTTAAGAGTTTAAGAGTTTTCACGTTTAAACAGAGAGAAAGCGTGAGGTGTGTGTGTGTGATGGTGTGGTGATGTACACTCTGTGTGTGTGATAGTGTGGTGGTGTGCACTCTGTATGTGTGATAGTGTGGTGGTGTGCACTGTGTGTGTGATGGTGTGATGGTGTACACTCGTGTGTGTATGTCCTCTCCCGCAGCCAATCGGAGGCAAGTTCAGGGGGCAAGGGTCGCGAAATTTCAGAATTTGTCGATGGCCGCCTCGAAGGCCTCCACTTAGGCTGCGACTTTAACCATTTAACTTTACCACTTTAAACATTAAACTACAAATAAACAACGACTATACAACAGCTATACAACGACGACTAAACAACAGCACAACAACAACAACAACTTCTCCGGCGATGTCTACGATGGACGAAGTGAACTCGCGCGCCTCAGCTGCCCAAGGTTCGAGTGATTTTGAGGGCGAAATTTTTTTTAAATTTGTTTTAATTTATTTAAGTCGAAAAATGTTTTAAGTATTTAATTTAGTCGAATTTTTTTTTTAATTTAAAGTCGAACATTTTTTATTTAAAGCTTTCGTGACTGCAGCCGCCCACACCTCCTGCACCACCACCACCCCAGCCGCCCACACCTCCTGCACCACCACCACCACCCCAGCCGCCCACACCTCCTGCACCACCACCCCAGCTGCCCACACCTGCACCACCACCACCACCCCAGCCGCCCACATCTCCTGCACCACCACCCCAGCCGCCCACATCTCCTGCACCACCACCCCAGCCGCCCACATCTCCTGCACCACCACCACCCCAGCTGCCCACACCTCCTGCACCACCACCACCCCAGCCGCCCACATCTCCTGCACCACCACCACCCCAGCCGCCCACACCTCCTGCACCACCACCCCAGCCGCCCACATCTCCTGCACCACCACCACCCCAGCCGCCCACACCTCCTGCACCACCACCACCCCAGCCGCCCACACCTCCTGCACCACCACCACCACCCCAGTCGCCCACATCTCCTGCACCACCACCACCCCAGCCGCCAACATCTCCTGCACCACCACCACCACTCTGGCTGCCCCCCCTAACATCACGACCCCCCCTTCCACCGCAGCGCCGGCAGCCCCCCCCTCGCGGCCGCGGCTCGTGACGCCGGTGCGCCGCTCGGCGCGGATCCACGCGGCGGGGGGGGCGGTGGGGGGGGGGGCGACCCCCCCGGGGAGGGCCCTGAGGGACGGCGACACGGTGGGAGGCATTGCGGAGCTGCTGCTGGCAGCGGCCTACGCGGAGGAGGAGGAGGCGGACGAGGGGGTGGTGCAGGAGGGCGCTGCTGGCAGGGGAGGGAGGGGGGGGGGAGAGGCGGCGTCACCGCACGAGGTTCCTGCTGAGGGCCAACGCGGCGCTGGGGGACAACGCCGCAGCAGCAGCTCGGGCTACTGGGGGGCTGGGCGGTGAGCGGAGTGAGATGAGTGGTGGGGTGAGCGGAGGGGTGAGTGGAGGGGTGAGCGGAGGGGTGAGCGGAGGGGTGAGATGAGTGGAGGGGTGAGCGGAGGGGTGAGCGGAGGGGTGAGTGGGTGAGTGAGATGAGTGGAGGGGTGAGTGGGGTGAGTGGAGGGGTGAGTGGGTGACTGGGTGAGTGAGATGAATGGAGGGGTGAGTGGGGTGAGTGGAGGGGTGAGTGAGTGAGATGAGTGGAGGGGTGAGTGGTGGGGTGAGTGGAGGGGTGAGTGGGTGAGTGAGATGAGTGGAGGGGTGAGTGGGGTGAGTGGAGGGGTGAGTGGGATAAGTGGAGGGGTGAGTGGGTGACTGGGTGAGTGAGATGAGTGGAGGGGTGAGTGGGGTGAGTGGAGGGGTGAGTGAGATGAGCGGAGGGGTGAGTGGGGTGAGTGGAGGGGTGAGTGAGATGAGTGGAGGGGTGAGCGGAGGGGTGAGCGGAGGCGTGAGTGGAGGGGTGAGTGGAGGGGTGAGTGAGATCAGTGGAGGGGTGAGTGGAGGGGTGAGTGAGATGAGTGGAGGGGTGAGCGGAGGGGTGAGTGGAGGGGTGAGTGAGATGAGTGGAGGGGTGAGCGGAGGGGTGAGCGGAGGGTGAGCGGAGGGGTGAGTGGAGGGGTGAGTGGGTGACTGGGTGAGTGAGATGAGTGGAGGGGTGAGTGGGGTGAGTGGATGGGTGAGCGGAGGGGTGAGCGGAGTGGTGAGTGGAGGGGTGAGTGAGATGAGTGGAGGGGTGAGCGGAGGGGTGAGCGGAGGGGTGAGTGGAGGGGTGAGTGGGTAACTGGGTGAGTGAGATGAGTGGAGGGGTGAGCGGAGGGGTGAGTGGAGGGGTGAGTGGAGGGGTGAGTGGATGGGTGAGTGAGATGAGTGGAGGAGTGAGTGGAGGAGTGAGTGGAGGGGTGAGTGAGATGAGTGGAGGGGTGAGTGGAGGGGTGAGTGAGATGAGTGGAGCGGTGAGTGGAGGGGTGAGTGGAGGGGTGAGTGGGGGGGTGAATGGGGTGACTGGGTGAGTGAGATGAATGGAGGGGTGAGTGAGATGAGTGGTGGGGTGAGTGGAGGGGTGAGTGAGTGAGATGAGTGGAGGGGTGAGTGGTGGGGTGAGTGGAGGGGTGAGTGGGTGAGTGAGATGAGTGGAGGGGTGAGTGGGGTGAGTGGAGGGGTGAGTGGGATAAGTGGAGGGGTGAGTGGGTGACTGGGTGAGTGAGATGAGTGGAGGGGTGAGTGGGGTGAGTGGAGTGAGTGGAGGGGTGAGTGAGATGAGCGGAGGGGTGAGTGGGGTGAGTGGAGGGGTGAGTGAGATGAGTGGAGGGGTGAGCGGAGGGGTGAGCGGAGGCGTGAGTGGAGGGGTGAGTGGAGGGGTGAGTGAGATCAGTGGAGGGGTGAGTGGAGGGGTGAGTGAGATGAGTGGAGGGGTGAGCGGAGGGGTGAGTGGAGGGGTGAGTGAGATGAGTGGAGGGGTGAGCGGAGGGGTGAGCGGAGGGTGAGCGGAGGGGTGAGTGGAGGGGTGAGTGGGTGACTGGGTGAGTGAGATGAGTGGAGGGGTGAGTGGGGTGAGTGGATGGGTGAGCGGAGGGGTGAGCGGAGTGGTGAGTGGAGGGGTGAGTGAGATGAGTGGAGGGGTGAGCGGAGGGGTGAGCGGAGGGGTGAGTGGAGGGGTGAGTGGGTAACTGGGTGAGTGAGATGAGTGGAGGGGTGAGCGGAGGGGTGAGTGGAGGGGTGAGTGGAGGGGTGAGTGGAGGGGTGAGTGGATGGGTGAGTGAGATGAGTGGAGGAGTGAGTGGAGGAGTGAGTGGAGGGGTGAGTGAGATGAGTGGAGGGGTGAGTGGAGGGGTGAGTGAGATGAGTGGAGCGGTGAGTGGAGGGGTGAGTGGAGGGGTGAGTGGGGGGGTGAATGGGGTGACTGGGTGAGTGAGATGAATGGAGGGGTGAGTGAGATGAGTGGTGGGGTGAGTGGAGGGGTGAGTGGAGGGGTGACTGGGTGAGTGAGATGAGTGGAGGAGGGGAATGTTTCTGCAGCTGGCTGATGGCCTGTGGTGCTGTCCACCCCCCTATCTCCCCACCCCGGAGTGCCCTACAGTGCTGCCCTTAATTGCTACTCCCAACAGAACTTGCCACTGGGGGTGCCTTTGTCTTTGTATAGGCTGCCTGTCCTCTTCGCATCGCGTGTCACCGAGGCCACGTGGTTTGCTGTGCGTTTCAAGCTTTATTATCCAGCCACTCCGAGCGTAGCTGCCGTCACTACACACGCCACGTGATGGGGGCACGGCCACGCCCACTGGTGGGGCACGGCCACGCCCACTGGTGGGGCACGGCCACGCCACTGGTGGGGCACGGCCACGCCCACTGGTGGGGCACGGCCACGCCCACTAGTGGGGCCCCTCGGCGCGAGGGTTTCCCGACGTTCAATTGCTGACCAGGATCGGAGGTCAGAATGAAACCACCAGATTCTGATGTTTATTTCTGCATTCACAACCACAAACGATGAGGATCATCAACCTCGTCAACCTCGTCATCCTCCCCTAGGAGGGAGCTCGAGAGCGATGGGTGACAGGGTGAGCTCGGAGCGACCCCACAAACTTTCACCGCTTTTGCTCGACTCACCATTACCGCCACCACATGGACAAACCCCGCACGCACGCAACAATATTTACACGCCGCAAGACAAAGGTCTACCACCACCCCCCCCCCCCTCTCTATCTCGCTCCCCCTACCCCATAGCTTGGAACAGACTGGCGAGCGACGTTTAGCGGCGTAGGCGGGCAGGGGGGCGCCCAGTAATCATCGCCAGCACCCGCAGCCACCTTAATCTCCCCTGTGGCGATGTTTACGATACGTACGGCGTGAAAGAAGTTCGACACGCACCACACGGCCGCCACCACTACCGCCATCACTACCGCCACCGCGTGTCACTGTAGACACATACACATAGACACACAGACACATAGACACACGCAGACACATAGACACACACAGAGACACAGACACACACAGACACAGACAAACACACGCAGAGATACATAGACACAGACACACACAAGACACATAGACACAGGCAGAGACAGGCACATGCAAAGCACGTAGACACACACAGACACACACGTAGAAATACACAAACAGACACACACACAGACATACTCACAGACACATAGACACACAGAGACACATAGACACAGACACATAGACAAACACACCAAGACAGACACACGCAGAGATACATAGACAGACACACACAAGACACATAGACACACACAGAGACACAGACACACACAGAGACACATAGGCAGACACATAGACACACACAGACACACATATAGAAATACACAGACATACTCACAGACACAGTCACACACACAGAGACAGACACACACAGACAGAGGCGTGTGTCTGTGTGTGTGTCTGCCAGGATGAGTAAAAAAAAGTGTCGTCTATCGACTTGGAAATAATCCCACGGGAACGCTGTCTCGAGAAAAAGATGACCGATAAAAGTGTTTTGAAGTTATATCCGTTGACTTGTGAACCGAATAAATCCCGTGTTCTTCACACATTGAGTCTCGTCATCGTTTTTCTTTTCTTACCTATAAAAGGCATTTTTTCTGTGTGTCTGTCCGTCTGTCTGTCTCTGTGTGGATGCACACTTGCTCGCGAACCGTGGAGTTTACTTTTTAAAAAGTAGCCGGGTACCACGCCGTAAGCCCCGTGGTGAGCCAGCGCCATTCCGTTTTCCCATCCGTAAACTTTAAAGTTGTTAAATTAACAATTTTGTGCTATTTCGCATTATTTAAGTATTTCCTTGCGCCGCTAAAGCTGCCCGGGGGTTGCTCCTAGCAACGCTCGCGCGTCATCGGTGGAGGGTGGGGGGGGATTTCTCATTCGCGTTCAAAATGGTTTTACTTAACTTGATTCCTCTGTCGTGGTCAAATGTTGTGATAAAGATTTCGTCCACTTCCCATCGTCCAATCAATTCCACATTTTGCACACGGTACTCAGATCCGGTGACAATGCATGCCTGTATCAAAATCGGCATCAATTAATTGGCTCCCTTAAAACGATTAACATTTTGTATGGACGCCTTATTATTCTTATATATTTGTGTGTAGGTCAAAAACGCCGCGGTCTCTAAACTGTGGAATCGCCTCGCCTGCTCCGTGTGAACGAGTTACGGGCACCCTCACTCCACACAAACAAAAGTTGTACATTGAAGATTGATTTATAAAATAACCAATTAATTCAAGTAAGCGTTGATGTGTGAGCAGGCGCCGCATCATTGACGTACTTCTTGACGGTGAGTTGAACGAAGTTGTGAGAAAAAAGTTATTAAACTTCATTCCTCTGTTTGATGTTTTGGTCAAATCTTGTACTCAAGATGTCGTCCACTTCCCGTTGTCCAATCGAGTTCTTTACTTTTTAGTGCACTTTAAAATAAAACCGTTTTTAAAAGGAGTTTTTCACTATTCAAAAGCCACCACAACCATTTCAATGCTACAACGTTTGGGCAATTATAATTGAGTTAAACATTCTTGTCATAACCATTTTTGTATTACTATCCGAGTGTCTACCCTTAATTAACTCCTGTCTGGTTCTCATGAATTAACCAAAGCAGCATTACATTTTTGTGAACAGGGCTGAGGGTTCAGAGCATATACATTCTAATCTCAAATCATCAGTGACGTCGATAACTGGAACAGATGAGTATTCTTGGTTTTTTTGGTAAAGTCACCTCGTAGAAGGGAAACAATAAAATAATAAAAATATAAAACGATAAAATTATCACGACGTTTCGACTGCAACACAAGAAGCAATCATCAGGTGTGAAAACCACAGCAAGAACATTTCAAAAAA